TGTAGGGTGTAGGGCTGTGGGGTTTAGATGTTGAGGGATCTAGCAGTGTAGAGTCCACGGGTTTCAGGGGTTTAGAGTTTGGCAGGCTTTCTGACAGGTCCGAAAAGTTTCGCTTCGGGACCCAGCACGGCCAAGCCTGATCACCCCAAAACACAAAAGCAAAGGGGTATCGCAAGGAGTCCTTCTAAAGGGGTCTAGAAGGGTCCCCTAGAAAAAGTGTGCTATAAGGGTTACTACAAAACTTGTAGGGTTCGTCTAAGAGTCTAAGAGCTTACACCATTGGAAAACAAATAGATGCCTAACCTGTGACTTGAACCCTAACCTGGACCGTGGAACATAACTTCAAGCCCTAAACTAAAATAGAGAACCCCCAAAGCCCTAAACCCCTGAAGCCCCAAACCCCGAAACCCTAGCACCCTGCAGCCCGAAAGCCGTAAAGCCCTATTAAACCCTAAAGCCCCTAAACCCCTCAGCCTTACGACCCTTGACTCCTTGGCGGCCCTTATGTTTACGCGCCGCCAAGGCGTACCATGCTGTATATATTTACAGGAACCTACATCATAACCCTTGTAGCAACCCTGAAAGTAACCCCAAACCCTAAACCCTCTTCCCAAAACCCAAAGGCCTAAACCCTTGCAGGAACCCTTGTAATTTGCCTAGATCAGGCCCGAATCCACTCAGAGCCTTGGGAGGCTCCAATGCCTTTGCGGCGAAGCCTTCGGCGCCTGAGCGGTTCTGGCAGTTCGGTTTAGGGTTTAGGGTTTAGGGTTTTGGGTTTAGGGTTTGGGTTTAGGGTTTAAGTTTAGGTTGCTGCGGTTAGAACGCCAGGATGGCTGAGGCAGTGGGCAGTCTTGGCTTGGCCAACTCACTTACAGTAACTTACAGTCGCAAACCACCATTAATTACATCACAACATGACATAGCTATTAAAAAACAAGGTCCAAAGCGCACACACTTCCCTCAGTACAGAGCAGGCTCCACATACGGTTCAGAGAAATGCATCAGCGTCAGCGCTTGGCTTCGAGAACTGGAGTTAAGGGTGTAGGGTTTAGGGTTTATGGTCTAGGCTGGCCGTTCGACATGCATGGCAGAGGTTGCTCGCTCACCTCACGTTACTATGGGCACGGCTGGGGACCGTAGCACCCACGTCTTGCAGGGCACCCTTTCTCGTCGACCAGTTGGCTAACTTTGTTCACCACGCGTGAAGACGAGGCCCCAAAGCACTCATGGTAGGGAACGCTGGGCATGCTGGAATGGCACCTTTGCTCAACAAATAAACTGTCAGAGCAGTTGAATTGGATGGTCTGGCCGTGTGAGACGGCTTGGTGCCGGACAACTGAATGAAGGCCATCCGCCATCTGGCAAGGAACACGGTGGACTTTCATCCTTGCACGCTCCATGGGAAACCCTCAGACCCCATACCCTGAACGTCATTCTCTACATCCCAAGCCCTAAAACATGTTAAATTTACGCTAAACCAAACCCTAAACTGGAAACGCTAAACCCGCGAGTATCCCCCGTTCTCTGGCCAGTATGGAACCATCTCAGAAAACCCCTAAGTAGCGCTTGTAGCAGCCCTACTAGGAACCATTGTAAAACCCTAAACCCTTAAGGAACCCCCCCCAAAAGAGCCCTTTAAAGCGAAAAGGATCCTGCTGGGCTCCCTGCGGCGCTGCGCGTCCGCAGCAGCAGTGGCGGCGGCCACGGCACGCCGGGTGGCCGAATCCTCCCAGGCGCTGACTAGGGTATAGGTATAAGGTTTAAGATGGCTTAGGTTATAGAAACCCTATATCCTAAACCCCAAGCCCTAAACCCCAAACCCTAAACTACTTTAGGTTAAGGGTTTAGGGTTCCCAGGGCATAGAAAGTTGGTCTGGGGCTATGGGTTGTTGGCCTGGGGTATTTTGGGGTTCGGGCCTGGGTTTTGGGCTTTCGCTTGAGGTTTAGGGTTTAAGGTTTAGGGTTTAGGGTTGGAAGGGTTAGGATTCAGGGTTTTAAGGTTTAGGGTTTAGGGTTGTAAGGTTGAAGGTTCAGGGTTTTACGGTTTAGGGTTTAGGGTTGTAAGGTTTAAGGTTCAGGGTTTACGGTTTAGGGTTTAGGGTTGTAAGGTTTAGGGTTCAGGGTTTTAAGGTTTAGGGTTCAGCGTATGCTGGACCTTGCCCAAACAAAATTTAAGGCTTTAAGGTTTGCGTCGGGGTATATTTTTGGGCCGAAGGGCCCTGTCATTGATATTTCGATCTGTGGAGGGGCTCCTGTTCCATTTGCAAACTATTGATGCAGTGGGCTGCGCTAGAAGAGGCTCCTTTGACTCGCATCAATTCGTGAAGGACTGGCTGCCCCAAGCCGTGCCCCTTTTTCCTTATGAACTCGCATCAAATCGTGACAGATTGGGGAGCCCCAATCCTTGTTCAAACAAAATTTAAGGTTTGCGTTGGGGTACGTTCTGGGCCGAAGGGCCCTGTCATTGATTTGGCAAACTTTGGCCTCCAATCCCTGTCCAAGCAACATTTAGGGTTTGCGCTGGGGTGCGTTCTGGGCCGAAGGGTCTTGTCATTGGTTTTTCGATGTGTGCAGGGGCCGTCCCAAATGGCGGGTTGGGGAACCCCCATCCTTGTCCAGTTGGAATTGGGGGCAGTCCGGTTGGGGGACCCCAGTCCTTGTGCAGGGGGACGGACCCCAATCCTTGTCCAGTTGGAAGGAAACACCAATCCTTGTCCAGTTGGACTCTCAGGAGTGTGCTCGCAGGCTCTGCAGCTCTAGCAGAACCTGCTTGGTCTCGCTGAGCGCTCGACTGCGCCCGTCTACCCCAACAGAAGTGAGAGGGGTGGCGGGCAGGTTTAGTTTAGGGTTTAGGGTTTTAGGATTTAGTTTAGGGTTGAGGGTTTGGGCCTTGGGGCAGCCTCTCGACTGCGAGGCAGAGGCGTTTCTCCAACTCCAAGAGCGCAACACCCTCATCTCCGGTGCCAAATCTTGAACGGCGCCCTTGAGAAACTGCATCGGGAAGTTGTGAGGAGCGAAAGTGGAGGAGAGTATGCTGTGGCGTAGGGACCCATTTACCCTAATATCAGGGCCCTACTGATTAGAATGGGGCCTTGGGGATATTATAACTCAACTATAATAGGGAACCCCCCCCCAAAAAAAAAAATAAATATATATATATAGTATAGGTAATGATTAAGGCCCCTATATTAGCCTTATGCTATAACTATAATGAAGAACCCCCAAATAGTATAGGTAATGATTAAAGCCCCTGCAGGAAGTACCGGATTAAGGGCAGGGCCGGTCGAGTTTGGACCTGGAGATTGGCATAGCGGCCTACGGCTTGAAGGGTTTGGGGCTTTAAGGGTTTAGGGTTTGAAGGGTTTAGGGTTGTAAGGGTTTTAAGGGTTATGGGTTAAGGGTTAAAAGTCAAGGGTTTAGGAGTCACTTTGCTGACCCTGATCCCAAATACTAAGCGAAAAAGATCGTAGGCCCTGTTGCCGCTTTAAGAAGGGACCCTAAACGCGAAGTCCAAAATCTTGAACTCGAATCTCTTAACCGTGAATCCACCCCAAACCCTAAAACCTGAACACTACAGAAATAGCAACCCTAAGCCCTAAGACAGGGGCCTTAAAAGTTACAATGGGATTTGGGGTTTGGGGGTATACTATGCCTTTTGAAAGGCTTAACCCTCAACCCCAATCACCTGAGCCACTCCTAAGTCCTAAACCCCAAAGTACCCATCAAGTACCCCGAGCAGATGCCTTAAGGGAACCCTTAATTACAGAAAGCCTTACAGCAACCCAAAAGCTCGTCCAGGGCCTCGCCAGACAGAGCGATGGTGGCTAAACTCGGCGCGAGTCCTGGGCATTTTAGGGTTTAGGGTTTAGGGTTCAGAAAGGCTTGTAGTACGTTTCAGGGTTCCTTCGAAGGGGTTCCTTTAAGGGTTTTCTAGGGGTCCTGCAAGGATTCTAGAGAATTTTCGTGGGGGTTCTGCCAGGGGTTCCATAGGCTTGGCATTAAAGGTTTCCATAAGGGTACCTCTCAAAATCATGAACCCCTTAAAGGAACCCGGTTTTAGTCTACTCAAAATACGGCACCCTAGAGCTTGTGAGGCCAGAAAGAAACCGTAATTTGGGCAACCACCAAAAATAAGGCCCTAGACCCCAAACCCCTACATAAGGCCCTCAACCCTAAGCCCTAAGCCCTAAGCCCCAAGCCCTAAGCCCTGAACCCTAAGCCCTGAAATAAGGCTTATCAAGGAATCCTTTTCTGAACCGCGAGGGCAGGGCTCGAGTTCGTGAAACGCTTTAGGGCTTGAGGGACTTTGGGGCGCTGGGTTTAGGGTTTAGGCACTAGGGCT